ATTTGGAGTTGGAAGGAACACCAAACTCTATCCAGGCTGGAATCAGCAACTAAAGCATCCTTGGGGATTGGCATCCAAGCTCCAAACAGAAACCTCCTATGAAGTAAAGTCTGTCGCTTTCAAGGTAGAATAATAGGTTAATAGAATCATAGAGTTGGAAGGGACCCCGAAGGTAATCTAAACCAACCCTTTCTCTGTTCAGGAATCTGCTGCTGAAACATCCCTGAGAGGTGGGCCATTTAACCTCTATTTCATGCCTGGTTTAGCATCGGACAGAAAAGCCAACAGGGAAAACGCCAGAAAGAACCATAAACATTAATGAAATTGGGGGTTCGGTTAGATTAGTCGGCACCCACCCTTCACCCATTTCCTCCAAATAATGATAAATTAAGCACTTACTGAATTCAATAGACACTTCTGTCTCTCTCGGCTCAGCGGCTGGGGCTTTCAGACCTGACATGGCTTGGCAGGAGGAATCCTGGTAAGGGGTGTAAGCCAGGTCGCCTCGTGAGCTCCCATCTGAGCAGGCCCTGGGGCTTCCCGTGGGGACAAAATGTGGGGGACTGTCCAGCTGGTCAGAATTGGGGTCCTCGGATATTCCACTATCACTAGCTGCCGGAGACCAGCTTGGAGAGTCAAGGACGGCATCTGGAGGCCCCAGGATTGAACTTAGGAAGTCGGCGTTCTCCTGAGTGTTCAGCAAGGTCTAGCAATGAGGGAGAAAGGAGTCTGTGTGAATGCAGAGGAAAAGACACCTCTCTTTTAAACCCTCTTTAGCTGCAGGAATCCATCAACCTACAAGGTTCTTGGCCGCAGGGACCGGCTGCCTGGGGCCACCACCTGGAAGGCTCCCACCTCTGTCCTCCCTCCCATCTGCCATTGTGTTGGTGACACAAATGTTGGCTCACGTTTTCGCCTGGTCCCATCCAAGGTGCCACAGAAGACCCGAGTTCCACGTTGCGAAGGACACCATCCTGACGGTCAAAGAGGAGGTCCAGCAGCTCCATGCTGTCCAGGCTGGTCATGGCTGCAAGAGACTGAGAGAAGGAAAGAAAAACGAAGGAATGAAAGAGAAAGAGAGTGCAAGAGAGAGGGAGCAGCATGGCTAAAAGGTTACACTTTCTTTGTGCCTCACTGCGCAGACTGACTATGCCCCAGTTTTCCATTCTGCCCTGGTTCTCTCCTTCTTCTCTCCCTTGGTTTAATCCTCCTTATCTCCCCCCCCCCCCCCCCCCCCCCCCCCCCCCCCCCGCTGCCCCTTCTAAGAATTCTGCCTCTCAGAGAGACCAGACTTCAATCATTCTGGAACTTTTTGTTCTTGGAACAGTTGGAATGTCTGTGAACCTTCCGTGCTGCTCACTCTCAGCTACAAGCATTAGACAGAGGCTTCTCATGTCAAAGCACAGTACTGTGTATGGCTATCCCAATACATCTCAAGGTAACGTTGGAGGCACTTTTAAAATTTATTTTATTGTACAACAGAGTTTTGCAAAGCAGCTTTAGAACTATTTCATATATGGAAGTACTTTTGATAGACTAAGATAATAAATAGCCTTTCATCCGTCCTTGGAACATGATATCTGTTCTTCCACTGCTCTTGCTCAGGCTTTGGCAAATTCAAGGCTTGTGCCAAGAAAGGGGGGGGGGGTTCTTTTGTTTGCAAAAAATTTCCAACTCACGCCTACGTACCAAATGACAATTTTCATCTCTGACAGTAATACTGAAGACATTCCTGGCTTTGGGGAGGGGAGGGGAGGGGTTGGAAATGGATAAAAGACTCGGTGGAGAAACCAAGGCGCTTCTGTTCCAAGAGGTTGCCAGATCTCAGGCCCTGGTTTGGTCCTGAACTGACCACTCCATTTGTCCTGGAGCTAAAGGCTTTGTTCAGGGCTTCTCCAATTAGCGTGTGCATGATTGTCTTTTGTACAGCGCTGAGTACACTGACAGCGCTCTAGAAATAAACTTTAATAATAATAATAATAATAATGATGATGATGGCTAGGATATGTCCCCCTCCAACACCGCCATCATCACCACCACCCCTACCCCTGTTTTTATGACCTTGGCTCTCTCTTGAGTTTACATTGCACCGCTTTCCAAAGTTGGGCCGCAGTGGCCCAAAGGGAAGTGGAGAAAGCGGAGCGCAACCCACATCCAGTCGGCCCTCCATATCTACGGATTCTTTATCCGTGGCTTGAAAAACGATAATATATATTCCTATATATATATATATATATATATATTCCAAAAGGAGGCCTTGATCTTGCCATTTTATATAAGGAACAGACATCATTTTATGATGCCATGGTTTCTAATGGAACTTGAGCATTGAGGGATTTGGGGACCCCCGGCGGCTCCTGGAACCAAGCCCTGGCAGACGCCGAGGGTCCACTCCACATACTCACGGCTTTGGTGGGCGACTTGGCTTCCTTCCTTCCTTCCTTCCTTCCTTCCTTCCTTCCTCTGGGTGCTCTTTCCTCTTTTCAGAGCCCTCCGTCCGTCCGTCCGTCCGTCCGTTGGAGCCAGAACCTCTTCCTAGGATGTGGCAAAGGTTAAATTCCAGCTGAGCAGGGGAGAAAAAGAAGGAGTCAGGTGCATGGAGTCCCTCCCTTTGGCCTCTTTGCCAAGGGGCCAAAGGCTCACAGACTGCAAGACACATTGGGCAACCATTATCTAAATAGCCCTCATCCATCCATTGCGCTTCTGAGGTGGGCGCTGGGCCACGGGTTCAAAGTCTTTTCCCTTGGCTGCATTGCGCTGAACTTTTGCCCACTTTTCAAGAACAGTTTCCTCTCTTTGCAAACAATAACAACCACTACCTTTTTGTTCAAGGGGAGGGAGGGGGCAGGAATCCGGTCCGGGTGCCGGTCCGAATTTTAACGGAGCTGTCCAGCCTACCGGGATGGTTCAGCAACTGGGATAATTCCTTTAAAATTCAGACTGGAACCCAGAGCCTGAAAGGCCATATCTTCCTATTTGAGAGAGCCTGAGCGTTAAGATATGGAAGAGAGGTCCTTCTCTCTCTCGAACCCTCCGCCTTCAAAGGCTCATTTGGAGGGAAGGAGGGAGACGGGGCCTTCTTGGTGGCTGCTCCCCAACTTTGCAAATCCCTCTCGAGGGAATCGAGGATGGCTCCTTTCTTTCTTTTTCCTTCAGCGGCAGCTTAAGACTTCTCTTTTCCAGCAAGAAGAAAAGGGACCGCAATGTCATGTCAACCCACTGGAGGACATTTTGGAAATCCTCCTGGACAGAAGGTGGACATGTCCTGGGAAAGGAGGATGTCCAGTCACCCTGGATGCCCCATTCTCCCATTTTGAATTATCAGTGGCATTGCATAAGCCAGTGATGACAGCGCCGTCCAGACTGTGGATTTGTTGCCCCTTGAACCCTAATCTTTCGCTCCCGGCACCACACCCCACCGGTCACAAGCGGGTGGCTCATCGGTTCTCATCCGGACGCCGGCATCACCTTGAACTCTGGACCTGAGAGGCAGAAAGGATCATAGACTCATAGAATTGGAAGGGACATCAAGGGGCCATCCAGTCCAACCCCCCCCTTCTGCCATGCAGGAACTCTCAATCAAAGCACCCCCATTGATGGCCATCCAGCCTCTGTTTAACAACAGGATCTTGGTGGGAGGGTATGAAAGTAGGTGCTTCTTCCTACTTCCAGAGGGTGCATCTACACCGTAGAAGCAATGCAGTCTGATATCCACTTTAACTGCCATGGCTCCTTCCTATAGAAAGCCTGGGATTCCAGCCTCTTGGGCAGAGAAGGCTGAAGACCTTGCAAAACTACCAATCCCAGGTGCTACAACATCATCTACTCCCATCATGTTCATAAACAAAATAGATAATAGATCTGTAAGTTTGGACGCCAAAAAGAAAAGCAGAAATAAACCAGTCTGACACCATTTTAACTGCCCTGGCTCAGTGCTTCGGGACTCTGGGATTTGTAGTTTTGTGAGACATTTAACCTTCTCTGTCAGAGAGCTCTGGTGCCACCACAAACTACAGTTCCCAGAATTCCATAGCACTTGGCCACGGTGGTTAAAGTGGTGTCACACTGGATTATTTCTGCAGTGTAGACACAGCCCTGGTTGTTTCCTCTCCCATACATATATTGTTTCATTGCTGTGTGCCTTGAAGTTGTTTCTGACTTACGGTGTGACCGTATCATGGGTTTTTCTGAGGCTGAGAGTGTGTGACTTGCCCCAGGAATGCATTGCACTGGTTTTCCTTTGCATAGCGATTGATCCGAATTTTGCTGTTTTGGTTGAAATTCCTGACTGTCTCTCAATGGATCTGTCTCTCTCGGCCGCACCAAGGGACACAATGCGAGTCTCGGTGTGCGCTTGTGCCAACCAAGATGGTGGCAAAGGAAGAGCGGCAAAAAGCACGCCAGAGACTTAATGTTCAATCCTATTTAAAAGCAACAAAGAGAAGCCTCTCTGGGGATAGTTTTCTGTTTCTGACTTCCATGCCAGATGGAAAGGGAGCCGAGCCTTGGAGAGGAAGAGAGCAATCCTTTGGGCGCTTGGGGCACATTTTCCGCCTCATTTCTCTCCCCCAAACCTCCTTCGGATTCAGGAGTCTTGGATGGAACCCATCCATACGCTATTCATCCACTTCGCTCTCTCTTGGGGGGCATCTACACTGTGGAAATAATGCAGTTTGATCCCACTTTAAGGCTGTTGGTTGTTGTTGTGTGCCTTCAAGTTGTTTCTGAGTTATGGTGACCCTAAGGGGAACATCTCATGGGGTTTTCTTGGCCAGATTTGTTCAGAGGGGTTTTACCATTGGCTTTCCTGAGGCTGAGAGAGTGTGACGCGATCACCCAGTGGGTTTCCATGGCCGAGCGGGGGAATCAGACCCTGGTCTCCAGAGTCCCAAGTCCAGCACCGAAACAACTATGCCATGCTGTCTTTTATAAGATTTGCCCTTGGCTTCCACTGTGGCTGAGAGTGTGTGACTTGGCCAAGGTCGTCCAAGGAGGTTCCATGGCCGAGCGGGAAATCGAACCCTGGTCTCCAGAGTCCTAGTCCTAAACTCAAACCACTATACCACACTGACTCCATCAGTCTATGAAATCCTGGGATTTGTAGTTTTATGAAGCCTCCAGTCTTCTTAGCCAAAGAGTGCTGGTGCCTCACAAAACTCAAAAGTTAGACTAAGCAGCCATGTGTTTCTGTATTTCTTCACAGAAATAATGCAGTTTTGACACTGCGTTAACTGCCATGGCCCCATCCTACAGAAATCCTGGGATCTGTAGTTCTGTGAGGCACCAGCACTCTTTGGCAGAGGCGGCTGAGGACCTTTGTAAAACTACAAATCCCAGGATGAGATAAGATGTAGCGATGTCAAAAAGCCATTAATTCTGCATTCTGGCAGCAGCCTTTAATGCTTCAAACAAAGTGTTTGACACTGTTTTAAACAATAGGATTGCTTGTTTAATTGTTTTTTCACACTTGTTTAACATTTCATAAAATTTGTTGGGGAAATGGTGAGGTAAAAATTAAATAAATAAAATATTTGATTCCCCACACATAGTTCAAAACTTTTTCGCGGTACAAAAGAGATTCTGGGAGTTGTAGTCTAAAGAAAGTAACTTTTCCAGGTTATGCTTGTCATCTCCCCATGGATTAGTTAATTTTCCTCCTCAGCGTTTTCTTCTCTTTCTGCGCATGCGCGGCCCAACATTTTCCCGCCTATTTCTCTACTCTTATTTCTCCCGTTCCCCTCCTCGAATATCCTTTTCTGCGCACGCGCCCCTTCATGTGCTTGCTCCCTCCCTCCCTCTCGTACTTTCTCGCGAGATTTTCTCCCCTCCCCCCTGCGCTTCCAACTCTATCCATCAAGTCCCGCCTCTTTTCCTCCTCACGCCCTGAACGAGAACCAATGAAGAGAGAGAACGGGGCGAGCGCTCTCGACCAATGGCAGCGGAGCGAGGAGGAGCAGGAGGGCGGAGCAGGAGGGAGTCCAACCAACGAGGCACGGGGGAGGGCTCGCGTCAGAGGAGGAGGTGACGGCGCTGGAAATGGTGGGTGGGGCCAAGGCTGGGACAGCCGCCCAATGGCCGCCTCGGCCCGGAGGAGTCAGCCAATGGCGGAGAAGGCCTGGCGCCGGCGGCTGTCCGCCCAGCCAATGGGGCGCCTCCGGGATGTCCCTCCCCCTCCGGCCCCGCCCCATCCCCTCTCGGTCTCTGCTGCTGGGCTCTTCTTCCTGTTGCCTCGCGCAGCGCCTCAGCCGCGCCATGAATGCGGACGCTCCGCCGACGATGCCGGCGCCCAGGCGAGCCGCCCCCTGAGAGGGAGCGAGAGGTTTCCCTCAGGACCGCGACGACGACGCTGCCGCCCTCGCCTTCGCCTTCGCCCTCGCCATGCCGGCCAAGAGGAAGCTGGTGCCGCCGGCCCTCAACATCACCCCCACCATCGCCGAGGGACCGCCGGGCACCGCCGGAGGGGAGGCCGGAGGAGGCGGCGGAGGAGGCCCCGGGGACGGACCCGAGTGAGTCTCGAGGGAAGGAGAGAGGGAGGCAGAGAGAGGCCTAGGCCTGCCCTTCTGTGTGTGAGAGAGCACTGTACGGCCTGTATCTCTGCGCGCGTGTATACAATATATGTGTTCACGTGTGAACTCCTTTGTGTATTGCAGGGCTAGGCAGCCTTCTTTCCCCTTTAAGGGCCGAGGAGGGACTTCAGCTCCCAGAATCCCAGGAGCTATTAGAGGCCAACATGGCTGAGGCTTCTGGGAGCTGAAGTCTCTCCTTGGCCCTTAAAGGGGAAAAAAGGTTGCCTGCCGCTGCTGTAGGACTCTCTCTCTGCCCCGGAGAAGCGGCAAAGGCAGGCTCCCTGGGAATCTCTCCGTCCTTTAAGGGCGACTGGCCATAGAGCTGCTCTGGAGGACCACCATACAGAAAACATATTAATAAAATCCTGCAAAAGTCAGAGCTGCAAATGTGGAGGGACAAGTACGTTTCGTATATATATATATATATAATGGTGTACTGTGCATATAATGCATAGAAATACATATGATCAAAAAACCTGAGTCGAGTTACTCACAGGCCAACGTAAGGACTGTACTTTAATTCTTATTTTAAAAAAGGAACCATTCCCAGGTGAAAGGCAAGAGCCTAATCCCTCCTGGAAGCACTGGTCTCATCTGTCCAGTCTTTAGGCAAGTTCCTTGGTGTTGTTTTCCTTTCCTTTATCCTTTGGGTCCTTTGTTACATGCCCCTAAGTTTTACCCTCGACTTAGCCACAGGTGCCATCAAAATCCATACTTTTGGCCCCAAAACCTTCCTTTGACTTATACATGAGGTCAACTTATAGTTCAGTATATATGGTACACACACATGCATACTATAGAAATGCATACTGCCTACATGCTATGTATATACATAAATACATGTATACATGCAGTAAACACACATATACGTATATATCCATGCTATTGAAGTGCAGGAAAAGTAGTTCCACCTCATCATTAGGAAGAATTCCCTGATGGAAAGAGCTGTTTGAAGGGCTGCCCTATTGAGGATGGAGTAAGCTTGTTTTCTGCTGCTCCAGAGAACAGAAGCGGGAGCAATGGCTTCAAGCTGCAGGAAAAGAGTTTCCAATGAAGCATAAGGGGAACCTCCTGACAGTAAGAGCTGTTCAATAGTGGAATATACTCCCTTGGAGCGCAACGAAATCTCCTCCTTTGAAGGTCTTTAAAAAGGGGCTGGATGGCCATCTGTCGCAGGGAGGGCTTGGATGGTGTATTCCTGCATGGCAAAATGGAGCTGGGTGAGCCTTTGGGATGTATAAGTACATCTATCTATCTATCTGTATCAACACTATATAAATACAGATTATAAATGTGAGGTAACTGGCCCACTTTATGTATGTATATCATTGCTAGTACTACTACTTGTTATAATATATTGCCACAGTTGCTACTGATACTAATGATAATCATCATCACAGAAATATGAATCATTGAAGAGTCAGGGGGCGGGATATTGGGGCATTGTGTTCCATTGTCTTCATTCTTGGTGGTCTGTGTTGATTTGATGCCCCCCTTTGGTTATAAACATATTATTATTATTATTATTAT